AGTAACAAATTCAACAATGGCTTCTATTTTGCCACTTCTTTGCAACGAAGATAAAAATTGCTTGGCCCTCGCTGGATCAGCAGATAAATCGTTAACTCTATGTTGAGGTATATCTTTTTTAGCAAAAACACCTCTCGATGCTTTAGAGGCTTTAGCTTCGGCAGCTAAAAGATCATCATACCGGGAAGACCTTTGATCATCATTTTGACGGTATCGTACGACTGTTCCGAAACCTTTACTAATCAATGCTTCAGCAACGTTTCTACAATAACAAAAATAAATTATTTTCAAAAAAAAAAAAAAATGAATTATTTAATTTAAAAGTAATAAAGAAAAAAAAAATTAATATACATACGTTCCACCAATCATAACTGTGCAACATGTTTTCTCGGGAAAATTTTCAACAGCAGGTTGTTTATAGTCAACAATAACGTTTACTTTTTTACCAATCAATTTCTTTCTTAGAAATTCTCGAGCTTCAAACATCCAAGGTATGTCGTAAAGTGGACGCACGACTTTTGTTTTATGAGCTGGAGGTTTGTTTTCATCTGCAGCTTTACTTTCATCTGTCCTAAAATTTCAAAAATAATTTACAATTAATTAAAAGCCTTTCAAATAGTAACTGAGCATAATTTTTTTTTTTTTTCTTTCAAAAACTAACTTGGCGGCTTCTCTTGGAGGTCTTATACTTGACAAAAAGATCTTACGGGGTGGTGCATTTCCAACTTTAACCATTAATGCGTCCCCATTGATAACTTCAACTACCGTGCCAGAGAATTCTTTTTCTTTTCCACTTAACTAAAAAAAAAAAAAAAAGGGTTAAAATTAAGCAAAACGTTAAATTAAACAAACGTGAAATATTTAATTTAATAATTTTAATTACCAAAGGAGTTTTGGGTTGAAAATCTTTCCATCTTCTTATTCTGTTTTCTTTAGCGTAACGTTCAGCCGCTCTTAATTTATCAGCTCCAAAAGTTAAAAATGCCATGGACCAATCAACACAGTGAGCATAACCCTCCTTTAACAATCCTTCAGCGATATTTCTTTTGGGAACGAGCACAGTTCCAACAAAGTTATTATTTGAAGTGGATTCAAGAATTACTTCAACATCCCGCTGCAAAAGATGTTTTTCAACAAAAAATTTTGCTTCTTGAGCCAAAAGTAAATCTGGCGTAGATGGATCAATTTGACCATTGGAGTCATATTTTATCGATGGACACTAAAATAAAAATTTAAAAAAATTATTATTTTTTTAAAAAAATTTTTAAGTTTTTTAAATTTTAATTTTCTTACCCTAATTCCAGTAAGCATGATAGTAACAGTGCAAAAGTCAGGAAGCAAAAGTGCTTTGACAGTTGATCCATCACGAACATGTTCAATTATAGCTGGAATTCTTTTCTTATGATGTTTATCCAAATATCCTCTCATATTATCAATGCTCCATTTCATGTCTCTAACATGTTTCTAAAATTTAAAAATCAATGATTAACAAATTAAGTTATGACTTTGATTGCGTTTTTGTCTTCTTAAATCGAAAATACCTGAGGATCTGCATTTGGATCCCACTTTCCTTTTTTAGCAGCTTTAGCAGCTGCTTCGAGCGCTTTCAATTCAGCACCTTCTTTGCTGTTTCCGACTGCATCTCTAACACTGACCAATCCTTCTGATATCAATGAATGGGTAATATTTTCTAAAAATAAATATAAAGCATTCTGTGATAAAAAATTGTAGGTAAAAATGAAAAAAACAAATGAAAACAAATATTAAATTTCTATGTAAATAAGGTTAATTATTTTAATTAATGCTCATCGAACATTATTTTAAATTAACACCTAAGTATAATTCCACTTATGAAAACTGAAATTTAAATTTAATACCTTTTCCAAGTTGAAGAAAGCCATAATCTCTTGTTCCAGTGGATCCTGAAGGATTTTTGTCAATAGTAACAGTAACCTCCTGTCCAATTAATTTTTTTCTTAGAAATTCTCTTGTTTCCCATGCAAATGGCTCATCTTTTGTTTCTTCCACACTTAAAAATTTGAAAAAAATTTTATTTTTCTCGTTTAAAAAACTTGATAAAAAATCTTTAAAAAAGGATTAAACAAGAGAAAAATAAATTAATAATAGTTATGCTGATGTAAATTATTAATAATTAAAAAAAAAAAGTTCTATTAATACATTGGCCTAAAGTAGAAAGTTACACATGGTCAAAAGTGTAACATATTGAGAATGGATTTAAAACAAATGCCCAAGTGATTAATTACTAACTTATCCCTAGTTTAAAAAAAAAACATAAAAAAATATGTTTTTACAATTATGCATGAGATTATTTAAAATTTTAACAGGCAAAAATTGTAACCACATGGTCTGACACACATTTAAAAGTCAGAGTTCAAATCACACAATAGCATATGTTACATTAAATCAATTCTAAAACATTATACTCACTTGCCAGCTCCGCGTCCAGGACGAGCCAATTTAGGTGCTACAATATTAGAAAACACAATTTGTCTTTCAGGTGGTGGACCACCTTTGGGTTCCTCGCGGAGAAGAACTGAATCTCCTGAAAGGATCTGAAATATATAAAGTATAGGTTACAACACGTGGATAAATTCATTTACTGAATAATGTAAATTTAATTAATAAACTTTATTTTTTATAGCATTTACATTAATAATTATTAAAAAAAAATATATGATTGACTATGAAAATTTGACCTACATCGAGTATTTTTCTTGAAGCATGATACAATGTGAGCACCAAATATATAATTGAAAAATTAATTTTAAATGTGGTTATACTAAAAAAAATATTACCATATATATGTAAAATTAATAAAAAAGATCATATTTACCTGCTTAACAACCCATTTTTTTGGTGGCTGGGGTTGTGGAGTACTCATATTGGTAAGGGAACCACAGTTGTGATAGACAATAATCGTTAATCAAAAACTTGAAATATTCTTTGCACCATGAGTATAAAAAAAATTAATAATCAGTACGTAATTATATCCGATACATTGGTAATGACTTTTAAGTGTGAAAAAAACAAATACTAAAATGAAATGAGCAGTAAATAAGGCAAGTATAAAACACAGATCGACATGTGTCGGTGATGTGGCAGAAGAGAGTGAAGTTTTGTACTCAGTGGCTCTGAGCGGAAACACTAAGGATTTCAAAGGAATCTCAAAGGAAGAACTACGCCATTTTTTAGAACGTCATTTCTTCGCGGGTTTTTTATTGTTGTGTGTTTTGTGTTTCAATTATTTATCAAAATTAATAACTGTTATTTTTCATGTTGGGGTTTTTTTTAACTTGAAATCATTTTAAAATCGTTTTTAAAGTTTAAAACTAATCGAATGTGATTGTAATGAAGTTTATCATCATAAATTTACTGGATATGTTTAATATGTAAGTAATTTTTGGTTAAAAATTTAATGGCGATAGTAAATTTTTTTTAAAAAAACAGAACTGAATTATTAAAGTTTACAAAAAACCTGCACATGTATACATGCAGTAATATATTTATACATAAATATACATCTACAAAGAAACACATAAATATATATATATAGGTTTATACTAGTATTGCGCAGCAAAAATTAAAAACTAATTAAAATTTTTAAAATAAATTTTTAAGAACAGTGGAATTGTTGTATAGGTGTTTTTTTTTTTTTTTAAATGCATTTTGTTAAATGCATGGTATTTATTTAAATTTTTTCTTTTTTTTAATATCAGATATTATATAATTTAAACAGTTTTATTTTATTCACTGAAGAATACATCTTTAAATGTCATTTTTGTAATAAAAAAAACAAAGAATGATGTAATACATTAAAAACATAAATTTGCAAAAATTTTATTGGGAATTATTATTTAAATTTAAAAAAAAAACAAATTAATATATTTGAAATAAGTTTAAAAGATTAAAATTCAATCAAAATTATTATATACAAAATAAAATCATTATTAAATAATTTAAACCATTTCATGTATATGAACCAACCAAGATTTATGAAAATATATATATATATATAACTCAAATGTATATTCTATTTTCAAAGCACTAATTTGAAATTTAAAAAAATTTATTTTATTTTTTTTCATTTATTTAATTACTATATTAAGGTCTGTTGTTGGACTTACATATCTTATTAGGAGTTTTTATATTTGTGATCTAAAATTTTAATTATCAGTGTTTTTGTAATGCATTTTTAGATATTTCAAAAAAAAAAAAAGTAAAACATGGGATAAATTAATGATTGAATGACTTACATCTATGTTAATAATAATTATTGATACACAATTATTTATCATTACAAAACCATTTTGCAAAAATCACTTTTTTTTATAAAATATCAACTTTCAATCAATCAATAATAAAAAAATTAGTTAATAGAAATCAATTAATAATAATAATAATAATTACATGACATTTCTAAGGCATAATATTTATTGGTCATATTATTTATCATAATTTGATCTATTAACAGAAAGTGCATAATTTCATCATTAAGTAACAGAAATTCTATAAATATATTATTTTATTTTATTTATTTTTGGTTTATAATTTAAATATTTCCCAACATTTTTATAAATGCTTGAGCATGTTTTTGTTTTGTGATGAAAAGCTGATACACGCTGCTTTCAATCAAAAATATATATATATATAATTAATTATTTATAATGTTGGTTATTAGTTAGTGTTTTATTTATAAACATTGTTTAAATGTTTTATTTTTAAAACTTACCATTTTTTTAAGATGCTATTTGAAATTATATGTTGAATTTGTTTTATATATTATCCAATGGGGTTTGAGCAAAATACACATATTATTTTAATGCAATACATATAAATAAATATTTAAATATATATATATGTATGTATATGTATATATATTACAATAATATAATTGTTTTTATAAAATTGCTATTTTTTTAACTATTCAATTTTCTTTTTTTTTAATTAAATAATAACCGTTATTATTATAATTTTTTTTTTTTTGCTTTTTTTTAAATTTATTTTTATTTAGAAAATTTTATTGTAATTAATAATAATATTTTAATAATAATTTATTTATTTTAGTTTTTCTGTTTATTTATTTATTTAGTTTTTTTTTTTTGCTATTAGAAAGTTTATATGTAATTTATTGGGTTTTCCTCTCTCTATATATATATATATATATATATATATATATATATATATATATAAATAACTCACAAAAAAAATTTTAATTTTTTCCCCGTCGTTATTATTTAATTAACATTATCATTAATTAATTAATTATTATTATTATTTTTTATAATATATTTCATTAACTAATTTTTTGAAATATAGTGTTTGTATAGTGCTCTGCGATTTTTTTATGTGATAGATAATAAAATAATTATAAAATATTTATTGAAAATAATAATAATTTATTGGCTGTTTTTTTTTAAGAGCCTCGAAATTCAAAATAATTTTTTTTTTTTTTTTATCCTGGTTTGCCGTTATAAACTAACAAACATTTGATTTGATTATTATTATTATAATTATTATATTAATTTTTCATATATATGATGTGAAAGAAAATTATTTTAATTATCGAGACACTTATTTTTTTTATTATTTGCATTAATATAGTGCAAATTTATTTATTTATTTAGAATATTCTATTTTATCTTTTTTTTTTTTAAAAAAAAAAAACATTCTAAATTAGTTATTATGTATTTATATATATATATAAATAAAATTGAGTATGCTTTACGCACGTCTCTTTACATCCTGAGCTCTGTAAAGACACGAACGTCTATTTACTCTTATGCCTAATTAAAAATAATATAATTATTTAAATGTTATTTAACGGCAAACAACAAAAACAATACAAAACATAAAACAAAAACAAAACGAAAAAAAATTTTTTTAAACAATACGAAGCGAAAATTATTTTTATTTTATTTTATTTTTTTGTTCATGACCACGTATATCCCGAACTTGAATTAAATAAAATAAAAAATTTTTTTGTTAATAATTATTATAATGTCATAAATGCAAAGAATATTTTATAAATCATTTGAAAAGAAAACGAAATAAAATTATTATTATTGCTTTTTTACCATTGTGCTTTTTTTTTAAAAATTGTAATAATAATAATAATAATAATGATTATAATAAATTATTATTTATTTTAATGATTATTTTTACCGTCGGAATTTTATTATTTATTTTTTTAGTATCATTGATTCTATTTTTTTTTTTTTTAAATTAATAAAATAAAATATTCTTTGCATTTTATATTATCATCCATATATATATATATATATATTTTCCCACTCCAATTAATTAATATTTTTAATCTGTTGATAAAATATTTAAATAAAATAAATAAAAATAAATAAAACAATCTCGTGTGTTAATTTATATTGTTTACTCTATGATAAAAATTAAATATTTTAAATATATATATATATATATATATTTAAATAAAAATCTATTAAAAAGCATAATAAACATAATAATAAACAATTGTTTTTTTTTTAAACATTTGAAAAATTAATGTAATAATAATATATATAATAACTCAATTATATAATTTATTATTTTAAATCGAAATTCTCATAAATTAATTTTTTTTAAAATTTATTATATATATATATATTTTAATGGGTAAATTATAACATTAAAAATATAATGATAATAAAATCAACGAAAACAAAACAAACAAAACGACTAAATTTTATTTAAAATAATAATAATAATAATATTTTTAGTCAATTTTTTTTTTGTTTTTTTTTTTTTTTTATTTACTACTTATATTACTAAATTTTTATATTATACCTAAATATATCTTAGCTATTTATAGTCTTAGAAGTAATTAAAACAAACTTTTTACGATTTAATTAATTAAATTAATTAATTAATTATTATTATAAATTGGGAGCGCCGCCCATAAAAACAAATAAATGTAAATTGGTATCCTTATTATTATTATTTATTTATTTATTTACTTATTTAGTTTTTAATCAAAAAAAAAAAAGTAACGTTAAAAATTTTTTTTGTAAATGTGCATTAATGAAAAATTTTTTTTTTCCCATGTGAAATTTGAAATAAATAAATGCGATGTAATCATTATAATAGGAAAAAATAATAATAATAATAATAATAATAATATAATAATAATAATGATGATGATGATGATATTATTAGAGGGTAACTATCAGGCGTTTAAATAGAATAATAATAATAAGAATAAAAAAGGCTACACTTTAGGACGAAATTTTTTTACAAATTCACCACGATATCGGCCTATTCGTAATAATAATAATAATAACTATTTATATTATTTTAAATGTAATTTGCCGCCATTATGCGTCCGTCCGTTTTTATAAGCATTATAACTCGATAATATTTAAAAAAAAAAAAAAAGAATTATTAAGATTAATATTTTATTTAATTATTTATTTTCTATACATCACGTAAAGAAAAAAAAACTTTTCTTTTTTTTTTTTATTAAAAAATAAGATAAATAATAATAATAATAATAGTTTGAAAATTTGTTATTAATAAATAAATTGACCGTACCCTCGTTAAATCATTCGAAATATAAAGAAATATTAAATAAAAATAAAAATAATTTTTTAAAAAATCTAAAGATAACAATAACAGTAGTAGAAATAGTAATAATAGTAGTGATAATAATGATAATAATTAATAAAAAATTTATCGCAAAAAAAATAAATAAATAAGTTTTTTTTTGTGTTTTTTTTTTTTTTTAAATTTTATAAACGTATCAACTAATTTACAACAAAATATTAACATAAATAATTTTTTTTTTTTTATTTGTTTTTTTTTTTTTGCCTTTTTAATTTCTTAGCTTTAATGTAATAACTTGTCATAATTATCATTAATAATTTTTATTATAAAAAAAATGAGGGGGAGGGGGGTGTAAACCTAAAAATTTTAAAATGCAAGCAAAAAAAAAAAAAAGAAAGGGAATGTTTTTTTCTACAAATAACCCCTATCTAGTAGCTTTCTCACTTCAATATAAGCGCCTCAAGTTTTCCATTTTTTTTTATTTTTAAACATATTAATAATTGTTTTATTATAATGTATGCATACGTGCGTGGGTGTACGAGAGCACGTGCACGCACTCATTTTGCAAAAAAAATCATCATTTGAATTATTATTCACTCTTATTAATAATAATAATTTGTCTCATAAGCCTTTTATTACATTTATAAAATTTATAATATACATTATAAACACAGTTTTTTTAAAAATTTGTACATGATGTTTTTTTTTTTTTAGATATTAAATACATTTTGTTTATGGTACGATAATAATAATAATTATTATTATCATCACGTTAAAAATAAAAATGAAAAAACTAATAAGTTTTAGTCTCTGACTGAATTTTAAAGAAAAAAAATTTTATTTATGTCGTTCATTTATTAATGACGTAATTATAATTAATGTGCGATTTAAAAAAGTTTGTGCCTTTAATAATTTCGTAAACTATTATTATTATTATTATTATTATTATCAATAGTACGTGATTTTACTGTTTGTAAACGAAAAAAAGAAATTTAGTTTAGTTTTTATTTTTTATGTTTTAACGATGTAAAAAAAATGTAATGTTCTAAAAGAAAATTTTTTTTTTCGTGATTACGCCTCTGAACGTTCGCATTAAGTTATTTATTTAAAATTTATTTATGTATTAATTTTAATTAATTATTTTGTTTTTTATGTATAATTTTTGCAAAAAAGTGTGTTTATTGGCGCGTTTAATGAAAAAAAAAAGGAAAAAACATGTTTTTAAATAGTGCGAAAAATTTTTGTTATGCA